GACAGGTGTATAAAATCGAGCACACTGCCATGCACTCTCCATAGACAAACAGTGTCAGTAGAATGACCTTACTGAAGAGCTCAGTGACTTTCAACTTGGCACCGTCATAGGATGCCACCTTTCCAACAAGTCAGTTTGTCAAATTTCTGCCCTGCTAGAGCTGCCCCGTTAAGTGTTGTTATTGTGAAGTGGAAACGTCTAGGAGCAACAACGGCTCAGCCGTGAAGTGGTAGGCCACACAAGCTCACAGAACGGGACCGCCGAGTGCTGAAGTGCGTAGCATCTGTCCTCGGTTGCAACACTCACTACCGAGTTCCAAACTGCCTCTGGAAGCAACGTCAGCACAATATAACTGTTCGTCTGGAGCTTCATGAAATGGGTTTCCATGGCCGAGCAGCCGCACACAAGCCTAAGATCACCATCCACAATGCCAAGTGTCGGCTGGAGTGGTGTAAAGCTCGCAGCCATTGGACTCTGGAGCAGTGGAAACACATTTTCTGGATTGATGAATCACGCTTCACCATCGGGCAGTCGGACGGGCGAATCTGGGTTTGGCGGATGCCAGGAGAAGGCTACCTGCCTGAATGCAAAGTGCCAACTGTAAAGTTTGGTGGAGGAGGAAAAGTGGTCCTGGGCTGTTTTTCATGGTTTGGGCTAGGCCCCTTAGTTCCAGTGAAGGAAAATGTTAATGCTACAGCATACAATGACATTCTAGACGATTCTGTTTGGGGAAGGCCATTTCCTGTTTCATCATGACAATGCCCCCGTGCACAAAGCGAGGTCCGTACAGAAATGGTTTGTCGAGATCAGAGCCCTGGTTTGTCGAGATCAGAGCCCTGACCTCAACCCAATCGAACACCTTTGGGATGAATTGGAACGGCGACTGCGAGCCAGGCCTAATCGCCCAACATCAGTGCCCGACCTCACTAATGCTCTTGTGGCTGAATGGAAGAAAGTCCCCGCAGCAATGTTCCAACATCTAGTGGAAAGCCTTCCCAGAAGAGTGGAGGCTGTTATAGCAGCAAAGGGGGGACCAACTCCATATTAATACTCATGATTTTGGAATGAGATGTTCGACGACCAGGTGTCCTCATACTTTTGGTCATGTAGTGTACAATGCAAATCAGTGTCAGTATTAATAGCTAAATTGCCACACAGAAGGTGTCTCAAGCATGACTTCTGTATTGCCATTGGTCACCAGTATGGGGCCTGAAGGTGCCTCCATCACCTCTCTGTCTCTGTCCTGACATGTCATGATAAATATGTCAGTTCAGATGTGAGCTTTGTGAAAAATGGCCCAGTGGAACCAGTGCCTTGGGCTGTCGGTATGTTTCGTTCCCGTCAACACAATGAATGACCACATAATTTCTTATCGCCCATTGATAGAAAAACTGAAGAAGTCTCTTGATAACATTTACTGTATTGTAGCACTGCATTTTATGAAGGTTCTATATTATCAAGGGCAACTCTTCATTTATAAATACTGAAGGAATATCTATTGTTCTTCTTATTTGTGAGGAGAATTACACATAAATAATTGTTGTCACCTCACCTGTCAACTGTTGTTGTGGATTAAGTTAATGCATTTTTCATGAAGTCCACAGGAGTCGGGATTATCTCGTTAAACGCTGTGTGAAAGAGAGATAAATGAACATATTTCTTTCAGTTGGCACAACAATCACAGGAGGGGGTGTGCTTCTCAGACAGCCCTGACAAATCTGTCTGGTGTATGTCTGCAAAATGCACAGACACCTCGGCAGATATTCGGCTCACTGACAACTGCCTGATTAACTCTTGGCACCTTGTTGTTATGCTAGGTAGTAAACAGGTGGGCCTAGAAGCCATTAGGCAGTCAAAATGCTAGCATCCCGTGCTATTCAAGTCAATGTAAACACTCATTTAAGAAATAATCTCTGTAATTTGTTAGAGAATCCTGAATACTTATCTCTGTACCGCTATAATCCCCTAAATACTTGTTATGTCAATACATAGTTCAGTGGTCAATTTACCACTTAAAGTAACACATTACAACATTATCCACATTTTGTAAGTGACAAATTCAAAAAACGTATATGACTGATTGTTACTGTTCAATGATTGGTATTAGGTAAAATTTAACATTATGAGTGTTCTGCACCTATTTGCATTCCCGTGCAAACAAATCAGAATCTGGAATATCCCCCAAGCAAAAACAGAGCGATGGCTGAGAATGTAAACAAACCTGTATCCAAACAGAGGCTGTCATCACAAGCTTAGATTTACGAGAGGTTATAATGATAAGCAGATGAAATGAATACTGTTTTCAAAAAAGGTAATTTTTTATCGTCATACAATACTTTCTTTTTCACTTGCGGCCAAATGCAAGGGAGGCACAAATAGCATGCAAAATTGTTGTGATCTTAGCAATGTGCTGAAAAATAACTTTAAAAACAATCCCAGACATATGATGTCCTTGCAGTTGACCTTTGAACATTAGGAAGACAGTTACTCTTTCCTGTATAGCTCTCTGATGGCTCATTCATCCTTTTTCACTGATGATGGGGAAAGTAAAAACATTGAGAGGAAGCATTAACCTAACAATACCCATTTTAATTACCCTAGTTTATTTACCTGCTGTCGACGCCATTGTTTTTTATTTTGTTGTCCCATGTATGACCCAAGTCTATTCTGTAAGGTTGATTATCATCTATAGCCAAGGTGACATTTACACACAAAATGTGATTTACAGATATCATTTATAGAGCTAGAATGGTGTCAGATATAGGGGTATTTACTTTTACCACCTTGCATTTAAATGCCTTACATACACATTACAAAGGTGTTTCATATATTAGCCTGACCCTTCCAACACCTTATCTGCCACCTTAACCTTTAAGCAAAATAAATTAGATAAAGCTTTGAGAGTGCAATCAGAAATATTTCCTTTTCAAAACAGTGTCAAAGCGACACTTTTAGAAATGTAAGGTATAGAACAGGGTGATACTATTACAGGGTAATACTACTTGATAGAGCAGTGTCTACATCATTACATCTGGATTCCTCATATAATGGAACACTATAAATGCTTCACTGTAATATTTTCTGTAATTGTATATGGCACAATAGATAGCATAGGCTAGTTAATGCAGTATAGGACATTTGGAAAATCCCCTTGAGTTGAATAACCACATCTATACTTCATTGTCATAGACACTTTCAGTCATGTGAGCAAAAAGAACATGGTTTGTTTATTATGACTATTTTTGTATTTTTGGGTCATGCATAGATTCATTGAATAAACTTAAGAGAAAGTCTAGTAGACAGCACATCACCATTTGATTTCTGACTCCTTTTTACATTAACAAATTGGAAAATAAATGGTTTTGCTAGTATCAGGGGCTCATGATCTCCTTTCATGATTATTAAAAGGAATATCCTGAGCTGACAGTTTGAGCCTTCCCAAATCCCATTTTCACCTCCAGTTTCTATTTCACTGGCTGGTGTTTTCTGTGGGTGTAGACCTAACTGATTTGGTATAATGGATTAAATGAAACATAATGAGATTCCTCATGTCAGTATTCAGTGGTGAAGGCAAATTAAAGGAAATCACAGGGAGCCACAGGAAGGCTTTATTGATCCTTTATTTTACTCTGTGTAATAATATGGCTGATTGCATCTGATTTGTTCTGAAACAATGACAGATGAAATACAATGAGCTTGACATCTTTATATCTTAACGCTAAAAATACAATGGGCCTTCTATAGTGTGTCTATCTACTATGTCAGCGCAGTAAATCATTCTACAAAACTGCAGAGTCTGTCATACTGATGTCAACTGACTAGTTGTATTAATTGACCATAGGCCTCTTGCTGCAGCGAGGCAGGCACCCACTCCACCAGCTGTGTTTGAGACAGGGGGCCAGCATCCGGCACTTCTAAAGCCATTATTTTCACACTGGGGTGGCAGCCTTTCGTGTGTGCTGTTACATCAATGTAAAAATGCTGCTTCTCAATGGCTATCAATGATGGGCAGACCTGAGCTGTGACTGCAAATTATTACATTGTTATGTTCCCAGTAAGTCAGGTTCAGATAGATGAATGTGATGGACTCAGAAATGTTGCAGTATCTACAGTATGATAGTAGCTGCCCAAGAGTAGCAATACTTTTCTCAGGTTTGACATGGCACTCAATGCATTAAGCATGTTTATGACACCATTTGAAGAACTGGGCAACTTTCACAGATATATGTAGTGGTTCATGTCCTGAAATATGTTCAAAAACATAGGCTACCTGTTTCTGCTGCCAATCCATGTTGGATGTTTTCCTGTCCAGCTACAGCTGGAAAGAAGGCATAATACACCACTGCAAATGTCTATATGGTTGACCAATCACTTGTTTGATGGATTTTCCTAATCACAGGGAGTTTGGGGCAGTGAGAGCCTTCTCCTCAGAGGGATGGGGGTGGAGGCCGGCCTTGTAATGGTTCTCTAGAAGGAGGGGGTGGTCTGATAACTCTTCTTGATTTTGATCCTTAAACACAGGTGCAGTGTAAATCCCCTGTTCCCCATCTGTCTTTGAATCTGATCCATTCTTTACCTTCCCGTTTCTAAATGTGGCCAAATCCAAAGGTAGTTTTTCATTTCTAATGCATAGTCATGTTGGATTTGGACCGAAGCTCTAGTCTTGCACTGTACTACTGTCTATTGCTGTTTCTCTTTCAATCTCAATTATGTAAATAGTAGGCTATTTTGGCATAAATGTGAAATAGGCCTACTGTCTATTGAGTTGTTAGATACTACTGAATTTCGCTACACCCGCAATAACATCTGCTGAATATGTGTATGTGACCAATACAATTTGATTTGATTTGTAGCCTACTATAACAATGTCTGCATCACTATTATCACCATTTGATAACAGTGTTTATAGTGGTTATAGTTGTAATACAGAGTAGTGGGAGGAACGAAATGTGGAGGAGGAGCATGAATCTGAGTTATTGTGGTTTATTAACATTTGCTGCAGCAGCTTGTGCTTAATGTTTGGAGAATAATCATCCCCAGTCTAAACATTCGCCAATTGCCTGAAACGGCGTGATGTGTCGGGGGACTGAAGTGGGGTCCCAGCGGCGTCATGCAGAGCCAATCATTGTCTCTCTCACACTTTCTAACTAGCCATTTCACAACAGTGATGCGAGGAAACGAGAGATATCAGCAGTCCATGTGGAGCAGCAGCGGTGTCCCGATGGCTCTTCCTCTCAACGTCAACGAGAACCAACTAAACTGAGCGCAGGAATACAAGGGCAAAGATGAGAACAACTGTTGGAGTTAAATTCTATTCATATTTTATGAGACATGTTCGTTATATTGGGTGACTGTTTGGTCAACGGAATGAGGCAGACGAATAGCCTCCAAGTGTCGGAGAATCAGTGAATTGACCAGGTTCTCAATCTCAACTATCAGCGAATTATTGTGTGAAAAAAATCACTTGAATTTCACACTCGTTATCTGATACATCATCGAAGGAAACCATGCATGGAAGGCGGCATTTCCCACCAATTTAAACAATGTTATATGCGCTACATTTGGATTAGCGTGCAGTATAAGACCTAGCTAACGGTATTTCGGGTGGAATTTCGGAGTCGGGCTTCTTGCGCTAGCATTTGCGCTTTCCTCGCGTTCGGCAGCTAAACTTGGAGAGCTCCATGCAGTCGCGAAGGTTGGTATTGGCCGTTTCTCAATATACTGACAATTGGGCTATTTTCAGAGAGATATTTAAATCTGAAATCTAAATTCATAATTTCGATGGAGAGTGGTGATTTTTCTGTCAATGGGTCATTTTTGTCTAAGGGTTCTTTCCTATTTTTGTCAGTGGACTATAGGAGACTAACGTTACTTATCTTGTCAAGAGTAATGGTTATCCATGTGTTGATTACCCTTCTAATAAATTAGCCCTGCCTTGTGTGCTAGGCTGTAGACAATTTCTTTATACTACATTTTTGTGGCAAAAAAATAGCAATAGCCTACACAGTACGGGCTACAAAATAGAATTTGCAATACAAGTTGTCCAGCTGTAATAACATGTTTTGAATGTAATTATAAGCATGGCAATGTGTTGACATATGGCATTGCTATATCAATAATTGTATAGCCTCATAGGCCTATGTGTAATTGTAAATTCATAATTTTTGAGAATATTTCTATGTACTCAATATGATGATATTAGGCCTACAATATCGTCTGCTTCTCCTCTTTCACATTGCTCAAATCAAACCCTTTACGCACGCATTATTCAGGAAAAACTGCAATTGGAAGCTTATTTGTATTTTGAATAAATAAAAAAGAGAATGGGCTTCGTTATTCGCAGTGATAGAAAGGAAATGGGAAAGTATCAAGATTCAATGTCGATGACTGACTGACAGTTGTAGGCTACTGTACCCTAATAATTGCGCTAAAGCGCCACAAAGCCTAATTTTATGACAGATAAACTTGTCCCCGCACTCATAATGCCATGTGCGTTTGTCATGATGAGAGGTATGATATCTAGACTTAATAACGGTGCGGTCTGTTGGAAAGTGTGAAGTAACTTCACCGGTGTCATACAGTATATAGGCTAAGACAGACCATATGTGTCTATGGGCCAGATGCATTATTAGTGTATCTCCGCAAAATATAGCCTAATGAGACCAACTGGAACACTGTAGTAACCTAAGTTTATGAATTTCAATCGACATGTAGGCCTAGGTCTTGTAAGCATATGGATAGGCCCTACGTTTAAATTCCAAGGTCAGTGATGACACAATGAGATCAAGACATCCATTTGTTCTATGGATTGATTAAGCTTGCGGTGAATGTGGTTTTATCTAGCATTTCAGGAGGCATTACATGGGGGCCTTTGATATGTGCTATTAGGCCTACAGATGTAGGATCTTAATTTGTAGTGTATGTGAGGTTTAAAAAGGCTTCTGATGTTTGTAATTTCCACTTTTACATTTCAAACTTGATTTTCCCTTACGAAAAATGTATCAACCCCTACAAAAAAGTCCATTAATTATAATCCACATTTCCTGTTGCTGCAGGAGTATTTTCCTGCTGTAGCAAACTGGCTCAAATTAAGATCCTACATCTGTACAGTGAGATGAGATTGAATCTTCTACAAGTCTAGGCTACATGTCAATTACCACACATTCATAAGCAATGCAAAATACCTCCCAGTCCTTACAGAACATAAGTGAGTATGTTAAGAAATATAGCCTACTATCACTGTAATACCACTCAAGTTGCCCAACCAAACACTAAAACACATGTAGTTCCAACATACTATGCTGTTTAATTTGGTTTGATAATTCAGAGTCATATTAATCTATAGCCATTGCCCATGTTCTATCTCTTTCCAGACAAATAATTAGTCTGGATGGTGTTTGGTGGTTCTCCAGTAGGCTAATGTCCCCAGGGATTTTCATCAACCCCAATAGACTAGTATAACACATAGAGATAGATAGAAGTCCCATCTTTGCATAAGTGCCATTATAGCATATGTGACAACATGGGCAGTGCCACTGAGGCTATCTCCATTTTAAAGTAGTACATTTTCTTCTTCTTCATTGGCTGATTTCTCCCAACTCATAGGAATCCCCACCCAGTTGACTGCTTTAAAACGGTGGATGCCCTCAATGGCAATGCTTGAGCTTCTGTACCTCTTATAGCAGGGTTCCCCAACTGAACAGTACTGAACAAAAATGGAAATTCAACATGCAAAGTGTTGGTCCCATGTTTCATGAGCTAAATAAAAGATTTACATTTACATTTTAGTCATTTAGCAGACGCTCTTATCCAGAGCGACTTACAGTCAGTGAATACATTTTTTTTTTTTATACTGCCCCCCCGTGGGAATCGAACCCACAACCCTGGCGTTGCAAACGCCATGCTCTATCAACTGAGCTACATCCCTGCCGGCCATTCCCTCCCCTACCCTGGACAACGCTGGGCCAATTGTGCGCCGCCCATGAGTCTCCCGGTCGCGGCCGGCTGCGACAGAGCCTGGATTCGAACCAGGATCACTAGTGGCACAGTTAGCACTGCAATGCAGTGCCTTAGACCACTGCGCCACTCAGGAGCTAAAAGATCCCAGAAATGTTCCATACACACCAAAAACTTATTTCTCTCAAATGTGTTTACATCCTTGTTAGTGAGCATTTATCCCCTGCTAAAATAATCCATCCACCTGACAGGTGTGGCATATCAAGAAGCTGATTAAACAGCATGATCATTACACAGGTGCACCGTGTGCTGGGGACAATAAAAGGCCACTCTAGGCTCTGTGTGGTTTTGTCACACAACACAATGCCACAGATGTCTCAAGTTTTGAGGGAGTGTGCAATTGGCATGCTGACTGCAGGAATGTCCAGCAGAGCTGTTGCCAGATAATTGAATGTTCATTTCTCTACGATAAGTTTTAGCGAATTTGGCAGTACATCCAACCAGCCTCACAACCGCAGACCACGTGTAACCATGTCACCCCAGGACCTCCACATTCGGCATCTTCACCTGCGGGATCGTCTGAGGGGGGAGGGGGTACTGAGGAGTATTTATGTCTGTAATAAAGCCCTTTTGTGGTGAAAAACTCATTCTGATTGGCTGGGCCTGGCTGCCCAGTGAGTGGGCCTGGCTCCCAAGTAGATAGGCCTATGCCCTCCCAGGCCCACCCATGGCTGCGCCCCTGCCCAGTCATTTGAAATCCATAGATTAGGGTCTAATGAATTTATTTATATTGACTGATTTCCTTATATGAACTGTAACTCCGTAAAATCTTTGAAATTGTTGCACATTGCATTTATATTTTTGTTCAGTGTAGTTAATAAGCATGGTTAATACGTTTCATATTAACTATTTTATTTTATTTATTTAACCTTTATTTTACTAGGCAAGTCAGTTAACAACAAATTCTTATTTACAATGAAGGCCTACACCGGCCAAACCCGGACGACGCTGGGCCAATTGTGCGCCGCCCTATGGGACTCCCAATCACGGCCGGTTGTAATTCAGCCTGGAATCGAACCAGGGGGTCTGTAGTGACGCCTCAAGCACCGAGATGCAGTGCTTTAGACCGTTGCGCCACTATAGGTCAAGGCACACGAGAAGTGAGAGTCACCATGTTACAGGCTTACCTGCTCCAACATATATTTACGCAGCATATAATATTAGTTATGTTAGCATGTACTGTTAGCAGGAAAGCAAAATACAGTTCCCATCAAACTATTGAGAAGTGACCCAACGTGACTACAACGCACAAGTCTACACATTGAGATGTAATTTGACACTTAGGAGGGGCGGAAGGCTGGAACAACCGCACCTCATTGGCCCAGTCACTAGTACGCGATAGCCTAAACTGCGCCTTCTTGGCACTGAGAAAGTTCGATTAAGCTGAACCGTGGTGCACCGGTCGATGGCCCGTTACGTGACCGGGCAAAAACGGTGAGGGAGGAGAGCCTTCTCAAATCGAACAGTAATCTGCGCTGCTCGATTATGTTGGCAACAAGGGAGCATTGGGCATCGTTCAGAAACATACAACATCTCTTTTCCATAAAATATCTGTTAACATTTTCAAACTAGTCTTCATTGAGAAGGCAGATTAAGCATATGTTTTTTCAACAAAAGCAATTACTTTTGAAAACATAAAATCCTACTCATTACTCCACGTGTTTAACCTAGGTGACTACTTCACATTTGTTTTGAGCCAGCGTCGGCCAAAGTTGGGGATCTGGCTCACGCAGGTTTTGTCTAGGGGGCAGCTTTTGTCCAAATTTAGTTTTCATAGCAGGTTTAGGAGAATTTACGCTGCAGGTTAGGATCATTAACGTAGCAGGTTAGGAGGATTTGGTTAAGGTTAGCTAAAATGTACCAAAAAAATAAACTTTCGACTTCAATTTGATAAAAGCTGTATCCCATCTAGACATGATCGCTCACGCCCGGGAGGCAACTAAATTCCAAAAGGAATGCAATCACTTTTCAGCATGTGCAAAACAGGGCCAGATATAATCGAATCCCCTCGCTCCCTAAATGGAAGATCGATTGCCTGCTTTCACTGTTTGCTGAGGAATTCGAGTGCAGTCAATAGGCTTCTAGAAAGAGGGCGAAGTTACTTCGAGAGTTCGAACCAAGTTCTTGTTCGAGGACATGACTGCATTCCTTAACTCCAGACCTCATGTAGCCTTCTGCTTTGAGTTATTAAACCAGATAGACGATACGAATTTCTCCTAATTCATTTTTTTCCACCTTCTCATTTGATTCGACCAGGGAGAGGAGAGAAGTGCGACCCCGTGCTGGATGGATGGTTATGGGGAAAGGAGCAGGAGGACCTTCGGCGCTTAAAGTCGGCAAGATCCTTGTTGTGTTTCTTTGCCTGTTTCCTTCTGGTAAGACAATATTAGAGATACTAATTTAATCATGCGTCTGTTAACTGTGCTAATATGATTATTATGTAGTTATTACAACCCTTGTTTAGTTATACGCTCTTGAGGTCTTGCAAGGTTAGACCAGTACCACGATGATTGCAAAATCCACACAATGAAAAGGACAAGACACATTGTTACATTGAGGCAATATTCATGGATACATTGTTCAATTGAAACAAGCTTAATTAGAATGGATACATACATGCATTGTTATATTTAGCAAAAGCGTTTGCCTTAGCAGCACATTTTCTACAAATGTAGCATCCATCTGCAAGTTTTGCAGCTTACATAGTATTAACAAGACAATATTTGAGTGTATCAACAAAAATAGAAGACTTACTTAATAAATTGCACGTCAACACTGGTAAAATGCATAAAATATCAGAGACCTGTGGAATCGACGGTGTCGGTGCAAACAGCCAATTCTGTCGCTTTTCATGTGCTCCATGTTGTGAGTTTGAGGCCTAGGCTATTTTTACTTTCTGTTAAAGTGATAGAAATAACGTTTTATTTTCATTTAACCATTTTACACAGCTCTAGGCTACTCAAGTGCTATATCCCCGTGTGGTTGTGTTTGTTTGGGGGGATGGGGGATAGGGCTTACGGATTCGACCCCCCTTTACTAAACTAGCCTACTTTCTTGATTTGACTTTTTATTTTGGCACCGGTCAAAACAAGTAAAGCCAAATAAGTTACTCTGAACTGCACATCGACTTTCCCCATGAGTAATTCGTAACCATGCTTAGGTTATTAATTGTTTGATCTGCATGGTTCTAGTAAAATAAAAAACGTAATAACACAGCTAATAATGGGCTTACTTGAGCCCCCTCCCCGTTTATGAGATGCAAAAATACCCTATCCATGCCCCATCGAACTCAATTTGCACATTTGCCGACCTTTATCGGTTTCTCTTTCAAGTCACTTACTGACAAACAAAAAGTGATAATGCAAGTGTTCGTTTTTGACGTTTATTAGTTTATTGCCATTTATCAGATGGGTGATAAATGCCTTTTGTTGCTGAGGCGGGAGTGTTGTGTGATTTGTGGGGGGTGGAATCGTTGTTGTGGTGTGGTAGAGCCATCAGTATTCAACTGAAAGTGTGAATTCAAAGTATTGGCTGCTCAGTTCTGAGGGAACGTTTGGTGGAGGAAAGTTCCATGAAGGCCTAAACTGAAGTGTGTTTATTAGGCGAAAGCTAGGAGATCCAATTGTATTGGTATTTGCTTTTAATTACGTCTATTATTTCTTATATACCCACACCCTATTCCATGCCACCCAAAGCGACTTAAATTTCAGGTCATGTAATTTAAGTACCAGGGAATGCCTGTTGGAAATTGCGTTACTCTTTGATTACAGCCTTCTACAATGGACAGGTGGATATCTTATATCCAGTTTGAACTGTGGAATGGTGAGACCTCTCTTCTGTTCCGCCTTCTGGTCCTGGAGCCAGTTTCTTTCCTGTTTCTTTTAATGGAGTCGTCGGAGCGCCAGCCCCCTCCCATTGCTGATGAAACTCAACCTAATCCCTTTACACAGGGCTAATTTATGACTCTGCTGGTCTCTTCTCAATGGCAAATTACATTGTCTTCATTCAGAGCTGTAAGACTACCCCCTCCCACATTGGCTCACACAAACTCATACCCCCTCTGGTTCACCTCAACAAGAGCTGGATTCTGAATAGAACAATTTAAAGGGGAGGTATTTCCTCACCCCTGGTGTGTTTTTTAAATACTAATTTCTGGCTTTTAGCCATGCAACAGGATGATATAGTATAAATGCAAACACTAGGTAGGATACCTACCGGTGAATTTATGCAGTTAACACTTCTGAGTAGCTTGTTTTGACTAATTGATGAGGTGTGTGTTGGTGTTTTTACTAATTTATCCCCCAATGTCCCTGTGGAAATCAAGTTAGTATATTTTTTACGAGTTAAATTAATACACCACGTCTTCCACAAAAATATATATTTTTGTTGATGATGCATTAACTTTTGCATGTTGACTGAATCTCTTGGAAACAGTAAACCTCACTTTGTGTGCTGTATGTTCTCTAAGAATGAGGCTGTATTCATCTAGTGTTATGAAATCTCAGAGCAGAATTGATTTGAACTTGGCAAATTGCAGACACTTGTAATCCTCATATTTGGTGGAATTTTGGGTTTCGTTACACATGAGGTCAGAGTTATTTAATGGAAATAAATGCTCAATTTGTCTTGAGACAATGAAAAAAACATGGAAAAACTCGAAGGACGCTGCAGGGCTTTTTGGAATTATAGGAGTCTAAAGACAAGCCATTGCCCTTACATAGGTTATTGTTTAAGGGTCCAAACACACAGATAAGACTGTATAACACTTGCTTTTCTTTTCTTTTTTTAGTACATTAAAAAAACAGTCCATTGTAGGTATTGGTTTTCCATTGTTGTGTGAACTATGGTCCTAATGTTTTCTTCTCTCTACAGTGAGTCTGCAGTGTAAGATCCTCAAGTGTAACTCAGAGTTTTGGGCCTCCACCTCAAGCTCTGGCCCGGAGGAGGAGTTCTGTACAGCGCTGCGGGCGTACAACAACTGTGTACGCCGCACCGCACGCACTTGCAGAGGCGACTTGGCCTACCACTCAGCCCAACATGGCATAGAGGACCTCATGAGCCAGAACAACTGCTCCAAGGAGGGGCCTACAACTCAGCCTCGAGCCCGGACCCCCGCTCCACCCCCACCACCACAGCTCCAGCCTGACAGCCAGGAGCGCTCCGATGGGCCAGAGCAGTGTCATTACGAACGCAGCCTTCCTCGCCAATCCTCACTACCCAACTACACCCACTGTGGCTTCTTTGGAGACCCGCACCTCCGTACCTTCAGCGATGACTTCCAGACCTGCAAGGTTGAGGGAGCCTGGCCCCTTATCCATAACAAATACCTGTCTGTTCAGGTGACCAACACACCTGTGGTGCCTGGTTCCTCTGCTACGGCCACCAGCAAGGTGAGAGGAGCCTCTACATCTCTCTATCATATTCACATGTTGAATCCATGACATATTGACTGTATCGTGGGTACAGCACAGTTACAGAGTGTCTGGGGATGCCGGACATTGCTAACTACTGATCAAGTATTTAGTTATTAATTCATTGCCAAGGACTGAAACCTTGCAAAACTACTCACTTGAAGTAAAATGACACCACTTTTCTTATCATCATAGATATACATGCAAAACTTCTGATAACACCTGTCTTCTCACTGCTGCGGAGGAGTTTAGAAGTGTACTATATAAGTAAAGAACTCAGAAATAGCAAAAAGATAGCTTGTTAGCAAACTGCGTTAAAATGCCAGGTAGAGGTTTTTAGGAAAGGGAACATTTCGTTGTCCCTCCTGACCAAGGCTGCTACTCCTCTATTCTGCCATTTTCTTACTAAAGAAAGCCCTTTCAGGGAAAGGGAAATATGTTGGCCTGCTTGTTTGAATCAGTAAACTGATAAATTGTAATAATATAAAATAATAATATGCCATTTAGCAGACGCTTTTATCCAAAGCGACTTACAGTCATGCGTGCATACATTTTTGTGTATGGGTGGTCCTGGGGATCGAACCCACTACCTTGGCGTTACAAGCGAAATTGTACTGCAGTGATTAATTTGTAGGAGCTCTCAAATCAAGAAATAGTATCATAAGTAAGACATTCGTATGTAAGGTTCTTGGCCGCTTTAATGTGGGTAGAGAAGTAGGAACAGCCGTGGGACTGTTTCACTGTGGACTCTGGTTAATGTTTGGATCAGTTCCATCGCAGACCAAGAGGCAATGCACAGACCAATTGTTGGGATCTTGATAAGGTTTACAAATGATATGCCAGTATTATAACAGCAGTATAAACATCAAACATTACCAGGTGGCTCCAGCCCTCTCGCTTTTTTTTGTTGACAGCCAAGACTAATGTTAGGCCCACTGTATGTGTAGCAGTCCATACCCTAGCATTGTGTGTATGTGGGTTAGAAACTGTTGTTTTAACTAAGTGCTCAAGCCATGCAGGAAACTGCAGGCATTTTCTCCACATTAGTTGGCCCTCATACCTCATCAATTATCATTGTTTTGCTACTACGGTACATTGGACGGCCTGGAGGGCTTACCCTGAAATGTCTTTCACTAACTTAAGGTGAAAACAAAGAACCCTGAGCATTTGTAGTCTGCGAATTCACGTAATATTCGGTCCACATTTGGTACAATTTTGGCAGTTGTGATTGTGTGACCAATAGGCCTCCATGCGCTGTATCCTGACTGCAGGGTTTACACTGAGACTTTGTCCTCAATCACATAAAGAGAGAGGCCAATTTTCCATCATCAGACCTAATGATGCACTTTCAGCATTCAGGCTTTTTTCTGTGCGCTTAAGGTAATTATATTTTTACACAGCTGTACTTGGAAACAAATTAGACAGCTTTTTAAGTTATTCAGTCTGGACAAGGGGAAAACAAGGCTACAGCCTATACAAACAAGACTTCCCTGGGTATAGACCATGGGATTGCTGGAGCTCTGCTTAATATTGGCTCCTGCTACAGGGTATGGGAACTGTCTGCTGTATACTCTACCGGTGTGACATGCTAGCAGTTCCTATAGACTTCCAGTCATTGAGCCAACGACTATACATTTAAAAGCTAGTCACTGCAGAAATATATAAAAAATGACATATCTTTTTTTAGCGGTGGCAACAATTTAGCAGCGGTGGGCCACCGCTGCCAAATGAATATAGGGGAAACACTGACTACCTTCATTCAGGAGGAGGGTTGATGAAGCAATTTATTTCTTTATGCACATGGTTTTTGTAGAGGTTTTTACATGTTCTTAGATAAAGTTGTCCTTCGAAAACAGAGGGGTCGGTGGAGATTGAGGGGTGGGCTGAGTGCTGGGGTGGCAGATGACTTGACTGGGTAATAACAGGGCATTTTGGTGCTCCACTTCCCCCTCCCCCTGCCCCCTCCGCTCTGAGATCAGAGCCTCTCGGCTGTCCTGGGGTCACTTCTGTGACAACGGCTCACTGGCGTCCTAATGAAACCATGCAAGCGGAGAAGTGACCAGCCTTAGTTAATTAGCCACAGAGCAGAGCATGCTCTCCCCTCCTGGCCCAGTGCCACTCCCCGGAGCACAGTTCTGGGGTTCACAGGCAGGTTTTTCACCACTATGAATGGCTCGTCTTTGTGTCTGCACACTATGGCCCGATTTAACATGGCCTATACCCGTGTTTTCTGAGGCCGTTTACTTTGGCCTCCCCAATGTTGAGGCAGAGCTGAAATGTGACACTGAACTGGGGTGGGGTCTGCATTACACAAACTACTGGTGTTCTTAATGCCAAAGCACAAAGATACCCCTCAGTCATTTGTGTAGCCCTACCACTAACTATTTTCCACATAAAAATGACAATATAGAGGTTCCATACAGTTTTTAAATTCAACTGGTGTTCAATGATTTAATTAATTTGATGTCTATATGTACCTTTCTATTTTCAGCCTCAAAAGGCTCCTTAATTACCTGAAACATATTGAATGAGCTAACTATTGTTGTGCTGACTGCTATTTCTAATCTTCTCCCCTCTCTCTCTTGCTACAGTTGACAATCATCTTCAAGAACTTCCAGGAGTGTGTGGACCAGAAGATGTATCACGCAGAGACAGACGAGCTGCCTGCGGCATTCGCCGACGGCTCCAAGAACGGTGGAGACCGCCACGGGGCCAACACGCTGCGCATCGTGGAGAAGGTGCCTGGGCAGCAGGTAGAGATCCACGCACGCTACATCGGTACAACCATCGTGGTCCGGCAGGTGGGCCGATACCTGACCTTTGCTGTGCGGATGCCAGAGGAAGTAGTGAACTCTGTAGAAGACCGAGACAACCAGGACCTGTACCTCTGCCTGCACGGCTGCCCTGCCAACCAGCGCATCGACTTCAGGACATTCAGGGCCCGTGCAGTGGAGGACCACGGCCCAAGCAAGAGCAGGACGGGCAGCCCTCCCCATGGGTTTACCTACCAGGCTGCCATGGCTAAGTGTAAAGAGCGCCTCCCGGTGGAGGACCTCTACTTCCAGTCCTGTGTGTTCGACCTGCTTTCCTCTGGGGACATCAACTTCACCATGGCTGCCTACTATGCCTTTGAGGATGTGAAAATGCTCCACTCCAACAAGGACAAATACCACATTTATGAAAAGGATGCATTTGGGAGTAATGCGGCACCAAGGGAATCAGATGTGTTCTCGCTAGTGCTCCTCAACTTTCTGGCTGTGTTGTTGTTCATTTATAGTCCCCTGCCAACATCATCCTCATTATCCTAGCTGTCAGTGGGTGTGAAACAGTGCTCTCACCATGTCATACTTCACTTCCACTGCTCTGTCCTCAGTGGCTGGTGGCCAGTGGAGTCAGCGAGGCCTTCCATGCCTCTGAGGGGACAGAGCAGCCCATGTGTTTTCAAACTCATCCCAGCCATGGTCTCATCATTGTTTTGTTGTTGTCATCATGTGTTGACTTCCATCTGGTGGAGAGGTGAGTGCTCTGTGCTCCCACCTATCATTGCATTCATTCAGCTGGTTTAAGGACGGGTCCTTTGATGAAGGGAGCGGTGGTGAGTGAGGAGAGCCCAGGAGCCCCAGTACTTTGGATATCCAGCTGGGATTAAATCCCACATTCCCACTGGGACTGCATGCACCTATGGGAAACAAGACGAGATTATCTCTTGCAGAAAGAAGAGTTTGCTGATCTTCTCACTGGTGCCAAGCCAGTGGAGCTCTCTGTGGCTCATGGGTCTGGGCTAGAGGACATGACAGGGGCTTTTGTTAACCTCTGGCCAGAAGCAGCTCCCTGTTTGTGATGAGCTTCCAGCTTTGGAAAAGCCGTAGCTTTTTGGAGGAAGCGCTCGGCCAAAAGGATGTCAGAGCAGCGAGTCTAGTTGTCTGCTGTGGAGATTAACAGGTCATAATGCCAGGTCTTTTGTAAGATTGTGTTGTTTGTTGGTCCGTGTGTGTCCGTCTGTGTGTGTGCGCACCTCTGTGGTTAATTGTGTGCTCCAGAAATGGCTGTGTTGATTGAGTGCATGTGTGTGTGTGTGTGCTGTTGTCCTCAAAAGTGCAAGAAATCTTTATTTGGAAGAAATGTTTCCTAATGTTGTTATATTGCAACCCAGGTTCCAATATAGAACCGTCATGGTGGCCTAGGGTCAGTTGAAACGGCCTCTGCCTGCCAAGGGGTTACTTCTAAGTGAACTGGCAGACAGTAAAACAAACAAAAAAAACTTTTACCTGTCAATCAGTGTCAAAAAGACTCAGTCCAAGTATTGGTGTTTAAAGTGTTAATTATGATACATTTCTTTTTTGTATCGGGTCTAATTAGGAATGTAGATGTTCATAAGAAAAAGAAACCTGAACAAACTTTACCAAGGGCACACATAATGCAGAAACGCAGATCACGTTTACAGAGTATATCTCATCTCTTCATTCAACCGATCAACCAACTTTCATGTACAGTGTACCATGGCCAAGAAATAGATTTCTACAGGTCATTTGTAAATGATTTGTCTCTTGTCTAGGCAGTCAACAGTTCCCCGCAGATGTAGGTATCTTGGCCATGTAATGGCTTTGAGAAAGGTATAGTCACACTAGCTAGGTTAAAATAAAATATTTTCCCACCAGTGGTGTGTTTCCACCAAACGGATTTGTTGCGGATAAAAATCAGTGTGTGATGACGTAGTGCACACAAAATGTACTTTAAGTTCAATGTGTTTCCATTACATTTTCAACTGTCACAAAAACTGTTGGTTAAATAGCAAATGTGCCTCCTCTGGTCTTGGCACAGGGGCTCTAGCCAACAGCTGGCAGATACAGTGTGGGTAGGCTAGTCTACATGATTAGATTATTATGGATAAGAGCAAGAATATTTGTCAAACGGCAGTCAAGCATCAATCATCATGTCACCAGAAGAAGACCCTCAATATTTATTGGAAAGGAGCATCAAGCTCATCACCGTGCACTTTCACCACCCTGTGAAGTTCATCATAATTTATTTCATCTGTAGTCTAATAAACTGCATGCTTTCCCAATTGGTAGTGGGAGGACACACCATATCATCACGTGACTCCAAGTTCTTCGATATGATGGTTATTATATCAATATTTGCGCATAAAGGAGTTTCCACTGCCATTTCTCGCATAATTAATTTTACCTACACAAAAAGATCCCACCATGTCAAATGAACAAATTATCTCTCTGCATTTATAAAATTGTACCAAAAGTTCCTGTTTCTAACACAGCTGTCGTGATTTGTTATATACGGTATGACTTTACTCGCATAAAAACTGTAGATGGAAACATGGTTACTGACCACCCCGTAGAGAGCAGGTCCTGTATGTAAAAGAGGGTGTTGACATGGCTCCGCTATAGGGAACGTATGACTTGCATCTGTCTGTAGACCTGTGAATTTATGGCTTCAATCTTTGCCAAAGAACAAGCCCTGGTGCCAACAACTTCCCAACAGCTGAATTTTCACTTCTCTCTTTCTCTCTCTGAGGACTTCTGCAATAGAGTTCAAGTTGAATTGTGTAGAACACTGGAAGGTGCTACTACATGAACTTAGTGGATGGACTTATTTAGCCAGCATGGTAATAAATAAGCTGTCAGTTTCTGGTTTTGAATTTGATCTTTTGTCATATGCAGGACCTGTGTGACATGCATGCATCTACAGCAATGGAGGCTGGTGGGAGGAGCTATAGGAGGACGGGCTGATTGTAATGGCTGGAATTGAATAAATGGAAATGAGTCAAACCTGTGGTTTCCATATGTTTGATGTGTTTGATACCGTTCCATTAATTCCATTCCAGCCATTACAATCAGCCCATCCTCCTATAGCTCCTCCCACCAGCCTCCACTGATCTACAGTACCATTTTGATGTGTTGTAGTTTCCCCATTGCATTGTCTGCGTAATCATTTAATTCACTAGTAAGCCTAAGGGCTCAATTCAATTCGTACCGCGGAAGTTCAGCGCTATGAGCCGACATATGCAGCATTTACCGTGAATGCAGTCTCTGCGAACGCCAGGAACCTTGCCTTTAAATGTCAATCATGCTATAGCGCTGAACTTCCAAGATACAGATTTAACCGAGTTCTAAATCTTGAGGAGGCTGAGGTACTAATACTTCAAAGGCCTGTTATATGAAGAAGACATTGAACCTTTCATTCTGGTTGGATCTTGATTCACATTATTTGTTGTATACCCAAGTAAGGATAAAACCTTGTCAGACGATTGATTTGCTTAGAGTTTTTTTATTTTATTTAATCTCGGTATAATATTTTTGGGTTTTACCTTCCTAGTCCCTTAGCACTCATCTATTAAACAACTTAACAAGGTAATATATCCTTACACTGAAGTATTTGGCAGGTCTAACTACTGCTATGGGAGCATGTACTGGTGCAGTTTGTTCTTAGTCTGGCCTAAAAAGATGATCAAAGAAACAATAATGATTGTAACACTGAATCTTGTGTTTATAGATGTAATTTGTATTGTGAGTTTGATATATGGTTCTACATGTGTAATGTGTGATTGCATATACGTTTGTGAGTTGTTGAGTTGCTAAACTATTGTATATTATCTGTTGTGTTGAATTTATCACTACAGTTTTGTATATGAGAAAAGGTTTGGTGAATGTGACCTTTTTATTTAAAAAGGATTTTGTGAAAACGTGAACACCACAAAACTGCATATTACATAGCTGTAGGGTCGTCAGGGCCTAGTTTTCAGCTATCTATCAATGGCAGGGATCCTATCCTGGTTACTGTAGTTTCAGAGCATTCCTTTGCCTGCTCAGGAGCAGACACAAGTTAACCTGGATTCCATCCAGGTGGATATCTACAAAGGGAATACAAGAAAGTGAGTTTTTTTGGTGTTCATGTCTTTAATTTTAAAGCACTTTATGTTTTTTTTCACTTAGCTCTTACTTGGTTTGAACTTGATTGTGAATAGAGGTTGTCAGACTTGTAACAGTAGAAAATATGGAATAAAAAAAACTGTGTATGTAGGACAAAAGCGGTGCCACACACCAACTGTTTATACTGTAAATTATTTATTAAATAAAATATAGTGTCTTGTTAACTTTGTGGTTGTGGTCTATCTTGTGGTTAACCTCTTTGTTTTATAGTGATTCCCAGTGATGGTGTTGCGTTCAGCGCCTTGATTTGCCTAGTTACACTGCCCCCTGGTGTAAGCAGTTTGTAAGGGTATGAATACATTTAAACTGCTCCGGGGAGTCCTGACATTCTTATCATACAAAACAAGCATCTCGAAGGCTTGCTGAGCCATAGTAATCCAGGTGATAGCCATGCATGTTCATATTAGCATATACAGTGCATTCGGGAAGTATTCAGACCCCTTCACCTTTTCCACATTGTTACGTTACAGCCTTATTTTTAAATGGATTCAATAAATACAAATCCTCATTAATCTACACAAAATAGGCCATAATGACACAGCGAAAACAGGTTTTTAGAAATGTTTGCAAATGTATTAAAAATAAAAAACAAATACCTTATTTACAGAAGTATTCAGAACCTTTGCTATGAGACTCGAAATTGAGATCAGGTGGATCCTGTTTCCATTGATCATCCTTGAGACATGTCTACAACTTGATTGGAGTCCACCTGTGGTAAATTCAATTGATTGGACATGATTTGGAAAGGCACACACCTGTCTACAGAAGGTCCCACAGTTGACGGTGCATGTCAGAGCAAAAACCAAGCCATGTCCAAGGAATTGTCTGTAGAGCTACGAGACAGGATTGTGTCAAGGCACAGATCTGGGGAAGGGTAGCAAAAAATGTCTGCAGCATTGAAGGTCCCCAAGAAGACAGTGGCCTCCATCATTCTTAAATGGAAGAAGTATGGAACCACCAAGACACTTCCTAGAGCTGGCTGCCCGGCCGAACTGAGCAATCGGGGGAGAAGGGCCTTGGTCAGGGAGGTGACCAAGAACCCGATGGTCACTGACAGAGCTCCAGAGTTCCTCTGTGGAGAACCTTCCAGAAGGACAACCATCTCTGCAGCACTCCACCAATCAGGCCTTAATGGTAGTGTCCAGACGGAAGCCACTCCTCAGTAAAAGGCACATGACAGCCCGCTTGGCACATAAAGGACTCTCAGACCATGAGAAAGATTCTCTGGTCTGATGAAACCAAGATTGAACTCTTTGGCCTGAATGCCAAGCATCATGTCTGAAGGAAACCATGCACCGCTCATCACCTGGCCAATACCATCCCTACGGTGAAGCATGGTAATGGCAGTATCATGCTGTGGGGATGTTTTTCAGCAGCAGGGACTGGGAGACTAGTCAGGATCGAGGGAAAGATGAACTGAGCAAAGTACAGAGAGAAACTTATGTAAATGTGATATCAGTTTTGTATTTTTTTTATACATTTGCAAACATTTCTAAAAACCAGTTTTTGCTTTATTGTGGGGTACTGTGTGTAGATTGATAAGGCTGTAACATAACAAAATGTGGAAAAAGTGAAGGGGTCTGAATATTTTCCGAATGCACTGTAAATGTTGTGTGAAGGGTCAAGATTCCCAATGGCATCCTTAATAGCATTCACAAAGCAATTAACCTTTATCATAATCAGACTGTTGGTCTTATACTTTACATTTTACTGGATGAATAAACAAGTGACCATACGTTTCATAATGTAGGAAAGTTTAATACATATGTCTATTAACATTTTTACAGTACATTTCATGTGAAGAGTGGCTTTCACAAATATAAATTATTTAGGCTTGTTTTCAAGAGGACAGGTCCAGGGACTGTAGCATGGAGAAAAGGAAGGTGGTGTTGGTTGGCTATTCCTTGTAACAGATCTGCCCACAGAGGACATAATACACAGATTCACCTGTGTAATGCTGTTTATCCTTTTCCCAAAAGCTTTTGGGGAGTTGCAGAAGAACATGACAAACAAATTTGTTCCCACTACCAGTTTTCGCTTAACAAGCATTCCACAATCATCCATTGAGAACAATCTCAAAACATGACTGTTTAATACGGCATCATCTCTGTAGTAGAGTACAGTAATGTACATGAACCCATATACAGTATGATCCCATATACAGTATGAACCCATATACAGTATGAACCCATACACAGAAATAAGGCACAAATGGAGAAGCACACCAAAACACCAGCAATCAGAAGAACCAGAGCAGGGCCAGTCTCTGGTTTGGCACTGAACCAGATTGACCAATAACAGCTTGTCATCAACCACATCAGTAAACACTCAAATGTACCTTCGAAAATCTACCAGCAGTTAGTTACATTGCTGTCGCTGGGAATCAAACAATCTTTTAACTATAGAGAATAAGAAAAAAACATAGTTCAATACTTTTATGGGTGGAATAAAGCGGTAGAGTGCAGTACTTCTAGTGCAATGTAAGATGCAAAAGTACCATTCATTCATAAGACAGAGTAAAATGGTTGAAATAGCTTAATTCTTTGCACATCTACAAATAAATGTTATTAGGGATAGCTTAAACATAGTCATAGTGTTCTTCTGAACCTTTGCACAAGGAATGACCTTAAATACTGCTTAGAAAGTTGTCCTTTTCATTAGGTCCTCAACTTATCAGCGAGTAAGTGGTTTTATCAACTTAAAAATGAAACTTGCAATGATGCATGTCTTTACAGAAGAATGACTATCAACACTAATGAGAAATGCTCATTAAAACCTTTTAAATAGTCATTCTGAGGACTAGGTACTGGCAGCTGACTCATTTACTATTCCTCTTCAATCTCGACATAAGGATGCACTCCCATTTTGATTTGGGGAAGAAGGTGCATTTCTTTATGAAATTATGATAGTTTCACAACCAGGTCAACATTAAGATTTATAAACATTTCAAGGTGAGGGTGACATGATAAACAATTTTTACAGAAACGTTTCTATGGACATCGTTATAATGGCATAAAGCTAAACACAAAGAAAATCTAAGTCATGGTTCCTTTGGGAATAATCCCATACCTCTAACATTCAAAAGGCCAAATACTTCAGGCACTTTTTATGTTCCAAGATCACTCAACATCGACCTTTTAGGCATTGTAAGCTTTCCCCAGATAATAGTCCATGGGACTAATCATCCATAGGCATTCTACAGACTCAGCGCTAACACTGACTGATCACCTGTCATTTCAACTAAAGAAAAATAAACGGTGTAATAGATTTCAAGATGCTGAACTCTGTTCTACATGGGCACAGAAACAGTTCGCTAACACAGTCACACCTGGAGGAGGGGTTTGGAGAGTTTGGTGTTTGCTGGTAAACAGAGTATTTGTCAACTCCCCTTCTGACTGTGAGGGTATGTCAGGCAAAGCAAACCAGTGAGTCTAGCCAGCCCAGACCTGTCCTTCAGCAGCATGTGGAGTTCCCACTGTGTTCATCACCTGAACAGAATACACTCACATTGCCCTTCAGCAGCAGTCCTCATGTCTTCCTGTTGTTCCAGTTTAAATCAGCCCCAGCTGCTTTCAACTCTGCAGTCCGCTCTGCGGTTGGCGAGCGCGAGTCCTGGGGGGACTTCTGAGCCTGTGGGGAGCGTGGGTCCAGCAGGGGAGGGGGCCGGGTGAAGTGTTCTGGCCCTGCTGGCCCCGGGGGACCCCTGTGCTCTGGCATCCTCACCCTGAAGTCCTGGGGATGGCCTCCTCCACTCCCCCTGAAGTCTTGGGGAGAACGGAAGTCATCGCTGCGTCTCCGCTTTGAGTCTGGATGTCTGGAGCGAGAGGGATGATGTCTTACAGAGCTTACTACTACAGAGCTACAAGCTATCACAACACTTATGGTTTTAGCATTACATTCCAATACTGACAAATACAAATCTCTACATTGTGCTTGAAAAGGCCTAATTCTCACCTGTCGTAATAGGCCCGACGGTCCCTGTGTTCTCGGTCGCTGTCATACTGGTCATATGGCCTCTTCCGAGGGGAGCTGCTGCTGCCGCCACTACGGTAACTACTAGAGCTGCTGCGGTAGGAGTCTTCACGCAGACGACGGTCGCCATAGTGATGGTCCTTATACCGATGGGTGTCGTATGGATGATGTCGCTCGCCTTGCCAGGGCTGGTTGCTATTTCCAGGGTAGTTGTATTTACGGTCTCTCTGCCAATCTCCTCGATCTTTTATAATGAGATAAAATAGTGGCCCATGAGGTGTCATGTACTCATATCGAAAATGTTATAGAAATCCCCACAATTGCTGCCAAGCATACTTCATACCAAATAAACAGCTCTTACCATCATTTCCAAAGTGTCGCTTGTTGGACTGGTTGTAGCCTTCTCTGTGGGGACCATGGGGGGATGTGGGAGAGGGGTGGGGCATGCCTGGATGAGACTTGGATGATGGCTGGGTGCCGGTGGAGTCTCGACTGGAACCAGACGGCTCTGCTCTGAAAGGCTTCTTCCTGCCCGACGGGTCATCCCCCTTTTTTCTATGCTCCTTCTGAAAATTAGCAAAGGACAATGGAAGGGTTAAGCAGAGGACCAAGCAAAAATATCAGACAAATAAGGTTTGTCTGATTGTACATGTTATAGAAGTTTTGATATTGCGAGAAAAGAGACCAGCTCACCTCCTCCTCCCGAGAACGCTTCTTTTGAGCCATCTTGTACAGCTTGTGAAGCTTCCTCGCTCCGAACTCTGTGAACTTAGACACAAAAATCCAGAGGTTCCTGCCAAACAAAGAGGCATCTTGGTAAGTCATGTTAAGTCACAGAGAAGAGAGTTAATATGGAGAACTATTTTAATGAAACTCAATGGCATCAGAATTAAAAACATACATTGACCTAAATGACCAAGGAGTTGGCTTCATAATCAAACCTTCAGTGCACATACACTGAGTTTACAAAACATGCTCTTTCCATGACATAGAATGACCAGGTGAAAGCTATGAGCCCTTATCGATGTCACCAGTTAAATCCACTTCAATCAGTGTAGATGAAAGGGAGGAGACAGGATAAACAACGCTCAACAGTTTCCTGAGTGTATCAAGAATGGTCCACCACCCAAAGGGCATCCAGTGAACTTGACACAACTGTGGGAAGCATTGGAGTCAACATGGGCCCGCATCCCTGTGGAATGCTTTCGACCTTGTAGAGTCCATACAAAAAAGCGTGCAACTCAATATTAGGAAGGTGTTCCTAATGTTTTGTACACTCAGTGTATGACTTATGGTTGGCTGAGGGCTTACCGACGCCATGTTTTGACATGCTCTGGGTCGCTGTAGGCTTTAAGGCACTCAGTGATGCGGTCTCCTATCTTCAGCAGGCAGGTGCGTGTGTGTTGGAGCTGCTCCTGAACCGACAGGCCCTCGTCAGGCTTATCTAGCTGTTTCAGGGCCTTCTTCACCGGCCTCATGCGCTCCTTACACTGGACGGACAGACACACTAAGTACAAGAGAGCTCCAAGCCAAAGATTATCCATGCGTTTCAATTATCCTCAGCTGTAACAGAACATCCATTATGTTTGACATGTTAAATGGCTTATTAACACCTACATTAGTCTTCAATGTAGTGAATAATTGTCTTCATCCTGTCCATGTCGGTGGGTAACTAGCATGGCCATGCTCTAGTCGTGACAGGGTGTAATAACTCACTATGCTGAAGTTCTCCTGGTCCAGCTCATCGTCCTCCTCTCCGATGGGAACAGGGTCACTCCCAGCAGTAATGTGGACCGGCCCCTGGGGCTTCTTCCCTTTGGCTTCTTTAGCCTGAGACACGGACAAACAAAACAGACACCACTAAGCAGGTTAACACAGATCTCCATACAAACACCTGCACAGTGACACCATTCCCCCCGGTGATCCAGGAGTAATCTGATAACCTAATCTGTACACCCATCTTCCACCTACATCCACCACCAACAACACAGACAAAGCTAAAAGTTTCCCCATTTGTTCAGAAACAGGAAAGGTTAGTGGGTGAGAAATTGTATACTACCGCAGCACAATGCATAACATTTGCGACTGCTAAAGTACCTTTTCTTTTTTTGCCTTGGGACGTTTTTTGTCTTTGTCCACGTCCTTCTCTTTTTTAGGAGTTCCCTGTTTTTCTTTGTTCTCTTTGTTCTCCTTTTTCTTCTGTCTCTTTTTTGTGGGAGTTTTTTCTGTCCCGTCATCCTGGTTAAATAAAGAACACAGAACGGTAAATAAGTAAACTAGTTCTGGTGGACTACAAACAAAGACTGCATCACATTGCCCTTGTGTTCTCTATCCCGGTATTCTGTAACCAACAGGAACCTCCCTTGTGAAAAGGTAGGTGGTTGATAGGCAGGTAGTGCTGGGTCCTTTGAGGTGACTTACCCTCACCTCCCCTTCCTCTGAGGGGTTGTCTGACATGCGGGGGGAGGAGATGTCATTGCCCTGCTCATCTTTAGGGGCCTTGTTCTCTTTCTTCACCCGAGGCTTCCTCTTCTTCACTTTGGCCTGGGGGTGAGGGGAGAGATATGATGAGCCAAGGGGGTATATACTGTGCAGAAACCAATACCAGACAGACTGTATATTTATAATTGAAGAGAGGTCCTGGTAAACAGAGCAGCCATGTCTTTGCTCACCTCCTCCTTAGTGACATCTTTACTGTCCGCTTCTTTCTTCAGCATCTTCAGAAGGTAGTCTGATCTGGCCTGCAACTGCTTCCCTTGAGGTTTCTTCTCTGGGTCATCGGGGAGAATCTGTGCATATAGAATACAATTAGTTACCAGGAGCCAATCTAACGCACAGCTTTATAGTTTCATCGAGTTCCACAGCTATCTGAGAACATTTTTATTCGGACATTCTGATGGTTACCTTGTCTGCAAGTTTGAGATCTGGGTCTGTCTTCATCAGATCCCAGTTGCCGTAGCCATGCTCATAGACCCCCAGCAACAGTTGAGTGTCATCCTGCAGATCCCAGTCCACGTCAAAGTGAGGCACCTTCACTCTGCAGGTCAGTTGGAACCTATGGTGGGAAGAGGAGGGGAGGTAGTTAAAGCCTCTGGTACTGTAGCCCATCAAGATGATGCCCTGGTGTCTGCATCAGTTGTTACCCCTTTGACCCACATCCGTTATAGTAATATTTATTTTCTGTGCATATTAATCTGATCAAATGTTTCACAGGCCTCAGATATCTGCAATGGTAACTTACTGGTTTCTCTCAGCAAGATTGGCTGGCACAGCTTTGTGCAATGGCTCAAACTCCTCCTCATGCTGGATGATGGACTTGGCATTGACCTGCACTCCTGAGATCTTGATGTTAATACCTCTGCGCTTCCCAGGACCTTTGGCTAAAGGAACCGGGTATACATGAGTCAAAACATAAGAACACACAGTCTCAGCCCTAATTCCTAAAAACCTGAGTCATGCAGTCAGACAGGCAGTCACACTCACCTTCACTGGGGTTCTCTCTGAGGTGCTCTTCATGCTCTTGGACAGCCGTCACACAGCTGCTGTGGATCAGCTCTCCCAGTCTCTTCAGGTCTGCCTGGGATTTGTCCACCAGCTCAGAGTCCCGGGCAATGCCCTCCAGCCTTTCAAGCGGAGCTCCAAATTTCTTATAAGCCTTGATGAACCTGGTGAAGGAAAGAGTAAAACAGTAACTAAGTGTTTAATGAAACATTGAGAAACCATTCAGTCTAAATGACCAAAGAGACCTACAAACCTGCGGATCTCTGCATCAGTGAATCCCTCCACGTTGTTCTTGCGGGCTCTGGGCCTTCCTCTCCTCTTTGGCTTCTTGTCATCGCCGCTGTCGTCCGTCTCGCTCTCAGAGCCAGAGGAGCGGTGCTTCAGCTTGGAGCCAACATCACTGTCACTGTCGTTGGCCTGGGCCTGCAAATGATAGACAATACAACCTTCAGACACAACAAGCAAAACCTATTTCCTACTGAATGTAATTGCCCAGTGCCTTTTTGTGTTATGGATACTTCTGAATAATGAAATGTTTAAGGAGGTTATTTTCTCTACTATAATATGAAATAAAATCAAGAGAAAATCTCATCAATAATTATAATTAAATCACCATAATGATTCATTTTGAGGTGTCTCTTCCATGCATTTCATGAATTTAGATAATCTTCAACAGCAGAGGATATTATCTGTGTGATATAAATACCCACTGCTGCATCACAAGGGACAATGCTGCTATAAAACCTAATGATTCATTAAGGAAGCTTCTCATGCAGTAGATTCACATACACACACAGTGGAATCACCAGGGATTCACCTACACCGTGAGGCAGGCAGTAAACACCTAATTACCACCCCATCCAACCCCCCCGACGGAGAGCAGGAGAGGATGAAAGTAAACAGTTCAGCAGCACACACACACTCCCTGGGGGAGCCCCTTCACACACAGCCACCTGAGCTGCACCATGGAGCAGTCACATCTCTGACGTGCTCCAGAGATCTAATTTGAGATGTGTATTCTCTCCTGCTTACCCTCTTGTTGGAGCTTCTGCTTCTAGGCAGCATGTAAATGTCCTCCATCTCCTTCTGCTTCTGCTCCTCCTCCAGCCTCCGCCGCTGGTCCTCAGGGATGATGTCGTCCCAGTCAGGCACTGTCCGCTCCACCAGCTCTGGAGCACTCTCCTCCATGTTGGAGAAGTTGGCCACCTGGAGGGACACATACATGTACTGTCTGAGACTGGGAGTAGAGTGGCTAGAGTAATAGCTAAATGTATTACTAGAAGTATTGTTAAAAGCAGGTTGAGAGTTGGAGCAACTTCTAGGTACCTTGAACTGAGAGAGAAGCTCATCTGTGGCACTTGATCCCTGGTCGCTTTCTCTGGTTTCAGCCAACCGCAAGATCTCATCAATATCCATCTCCTGCAAGGGCAAATAGAGAACGGTACAAGGTAAATCACAAGGAACACAACAGACATTCTGCAAATATGGAAGTTTGAAAATTGATCACTCATACAACTGAACTTTCAACAGAGCATATTATCAATATAAATGTGTGTCTGTGTACCGTAGGTTCAGTCTCCTCTCCCTCTGCCTCTTTGAACAGATCTTCAGCTCCAAACTTCAGGATGGCAGTCAACTCATCTTTATTGAATGGGTTGGAACTGTGAAAAGATGTTGATGTTAAGTTAAGAACCTGAGGGACCTCATGTTTTCAGTCAAACAAAAATATAACTTAAAGACTAGCAGACTGCATGGTGAAGTTTCCTCACTTTGAATTTCCGGAGTTGTTATCCAGTACAGTTCGACCAGTGGTGTCCATTCTCTGAATTACAAGATGGTCCAAAACCATCTTCTTCTTGGCTCTCTCAATAATGTCCTCCTCCACAGATCCCTTTGTGACCAAGCGATAGATATTCACCTGTTCAGCAATACAAGAAAGGAGACATTTAAACATCTCACTTGGCAAGTTGGAAGACAAACATTTTCCATGATGGCTCTGCCAAAGAAAATGTATGCCAAACTGATTACTAACTTCATACTGTACCTCACAGGTTTTATTCATTAGGATTAAATCACCAGAATCAGACCAACAATCTTGTGCTTAGCTAAACCTTCCCTCAATACTAAGGACAGTGGGTCTAGTTGTGGTTACCTGCTTCTTCTGGCCGATCCTGTGAGCCCTGGCCTGAGCCTGCAGGTCGTTCTGAGGGTTCCAGTCAGAGTCAAAGATGACCACAGTGTCTGCAGAGGCCAGGTTGATACCCAAACCTCCAGCTCTTGTGGACAGCAGGAAACAGAAATCCTGGACAGAGAGAGGGGGAGATTATTATTCTCAAAACAAATCACATAGTGCACCACACCCAACATGCTGAACATCACAGAGGTGAAGGGATGAAATGCCTGAAGTAGAGAACATGTCAAGAGTGATAATTGTTCTTGTGGCTTTTATGGTGTGGGTTCACACTTTATTTGGATATTCCCATATAGATGATCCACAGATGGTCATATATCAACAAACTATCTGTTGATAAGAAACTGCTTGCTAAGGTTACAGTAAGGCTTAGGTTTAGAAAAAGGGTTAGGATAAGGGTTAAGGTTAGAGCTAGGGTTAGTAGATAGTTAGTTGAAATGTTGTTGACAGTTATTGAACATCAACTGAACATCTACAAACCATCTACTTGGGACTATCCAAATAAAGTGTTACCTGATGTGGTAAAACACACCAGGTAACAGTCACAGCCATTTTGTTTCTACCATTTTGTTTTGCTAAGTTGACCTCATTAACAGAATATCATAACTTCTGAGGAAAATCAATCTGAACACTAAATGAAACAATGTATTGACTGTCATGTTAATCATGTTAATGTATGGTATCACTGTGGTTATCATCACAGTCGATCATCACAGTAGATTGGGCTCCCGAGTGGTCTAAGGCTCTGCATCTCAGTGCTTGAGGCGTCACTACAGACCCCCTGGTTTGATTCCAGGCTGTATCACAACCGACCGTGATTGGGAGTCCCATAGGGCGGCGCACAATTGGCCCAGCGTCGTCCGGGTTTGGCCGGTGTAGGCCATCTTTGTAAATAAGAATTTGTTCTTAACCGACTTGCCTAGTTAAATAAAGGTTAAAAAATAAAAAAAAAAAAAAAAAGATACATCACCTGACACAAACATCAACATTCGCTGATTAAGTGAAATTATATACCACCCGAGTTCCGATGCAGATTCAGGTCTGACATAGACACTTCAAATATCAACGCCTCCAATGTCCAGACCTGCAATCTGCAATAGCTAAAACATTGCATAGTACAGATTACATACCTCAGAGCCTTCAGCATTAAAGTGGTCAAGTGCTTGTTTTCGTATTTCTCCCTTTATGGAGCCATCCAGGCGCTGAGGAAAGAGGGAAGGAGAGAGACTTCAGGCCTTGGAACCTTGCCTGAACTCCCACCCCTAAGATCCCACTTGGCAATGCTCAGCTATACATGGCATTATACGATCAATCAGACAAGCAGCATATTGTCAAAAAGCATTAAAGCAGTAAAACTATGTCTAGCTATTTACCTGTGCTAAGACTCAGTGTGAAGACCAAGCGGTCACTCTGGCTCTGGGGACAAGCCAGTCCCCATCAAAAATAACTTGAGGATAAAAATAACTCAGTATGCCAGAGCATGTTTGCGGCAACACTGACACATGAGCAGGTTAACACCTGAGTGGACTCCAACCCTGCTCCAATATCTCTAACAGCTACTGAAAACACCCTCACTAAGTCACCATAATAAAGATGGAATAACATATAATGGAGATCTAAGAGAACAAGGACAAGTCATACAGAATAAAAGAACAGGAGGTACACTACAGAAGGTTTGGACCTGCTGCCTTGCCATCCCCTGGGCTGTGTTATACCCTACCTGGAATGGGTAGCGCTTCAGGGCCAGGTACTCAGCCAGGATGTCCAACATGCGCACCATCTGGGAGAAGATGAGGACTCGGTTGCCCCTCTCCCGAAGTCTGGTCAGTAGCTTGTCCAGAAGAACCAGCTTCCCACTGCCCCTCACCAACGCCTGAGATACGCACAAGGTCAGAGGTCAAACATAGGGAAATGAACATCTCTTCTCCACCCCTAACAAACCAATAAATTAGTGTGGTTGCATGTAATCATGCTCTGCTGCCATTTTAACCAATGAGGGTATTTCTAAATGTTCAAAACAGCAAAAACAGAGTCCTACCTGCAGGTGCTCCTGTGGAGTGTCACACTCCTCCTCAGGCTGTTTGATAAGGAAACCATGGTTAGTGCACTTCTTCAGCTCCATGACAATGTTGAGGAAGCCAGAGGAGCTGCCTCGGGTGCCTTTCTGCAGGGCCCTGAAGTTCCTGGTAAGAATCCACCTGAAACAAGCACCAAAACACACCACCAGTTAACTTCAGGGACAAGGGGTAAGACTTTAGATACTGCTCAAATCATGTGTCCAGATAGGCAGACATGGATAGAGAGAAAAGCTACAGATGAGGGAACGTACTTGTAGTACTGCTTCTGCACGGCAGACATGTCCACACGGAGGATCTGTTCTACCTTAGCAGGCAGGGATTTCTCCACATCCTTCTTGACACGCCTCAGGAGGAAGGGCTCAAGGACTTTGTGGAGGCTCTGGTAGCCATTGTCAGTCCCTTTACCATGCTCACTTTCAAAATCTTCCCAATTTTCAAACCTTCAGAGGGGGAAAGTACAATAGCATCGGGATAAGAACACTGTAAATGAATACAAATGCACAGGTTGTTCTTCTCAAAGTCAAAATCTGCCTAAATGTACATGATGTATTTTATAGAGAGAAGTACATACTTGTCAGGCATGAGGAAGTGCAGAAGGGACCACAGCTCTTTGAGAGAATTCTGCAGTGGTGTCCCTGTGATTAGAAGTCTGTGGTTGGACCGGAACTCGATCAGGGTTTTGTACAACAGGGAGTCGTCATTCTTTAGCCTGTGAGCTTCGTCCACACCCAGGAAAGACCAGTTTATGTTCCCCAACACCCCCTATGGACAGATCACACACATTGAGAGTTGTATTCAATCAAACAATTCATGTTTTCTTTGTCTTTTGTAAAATAAACAACAAAATGTGTACTATTTCGGCCAGTACAAATCAAAGCTGATACAGTATATCGAAATATATCTGTCTGAAAATACTTCCAAGAAATACAGATGCCTTACCTTGTCTTTCAGTAGGATTTCATACGTGGTTATAAGTGCATTGAACTTTATTCTTTTCGTCTGATGGCATACCCACTCATAGTCACGGATCTGTTAAACACAAAAGGAACGCAGAGGGGGACACTCATTTTTGGTTGGCAACAAGACTACAACGCTTCTTTCGAGTTTTGTAAAGAGGAGATTTCTGTACCGATTTCCTGCTCATCACGTCTCCCAGGTAGACCACCACATTCATGTCGGGGGCCCAGGTGTCAAACTCTCTCTGCCAGGAGGTGAGGGTGGACAGGGGCACCACCACCAGGGAGGGCCCATACAGCTGGTGCTGGTGGAACATGTAGGACAGGAATGAGATGGTCTGGATGGTTTTCCCCAGACCCATCTCATCAGCCAGGATCACACTATTGCACCTGAAAAACACAGACCATGGAGTCTTAGTGTTACATTGATTAGTGCTACCAACTATCTAATTCCAGGTAATTAACAGTACACCTCAGTATAGTATCAAGTACATCCACTAAATGTGATGTTCAAAACCTTAATAATCTCTACGGTTTCTCTAGTGTCCCTCATGACTTGATGTGTACCTGCACCAGGAGTGAGCCAGCCAGTTCAGTCCATCTAACTGGTAATCTCTCAGCTGTAGGTTCTCATCCCCAATGTACAATGGCTGGTTCTTTAGTGCAACAAATCTGGGCCTCTGTTTCAACACCTGAAATTAGAGTTACAAAATCACTGCACTATTCTGAAATTACAATAGCTATATATTGTAAATTCTTGTGTTCTAGCTGATACTAGTAAACTTTTAAATAAAAACAACTGTGATAGGAGTATTGATGTGCAATCTATCTAGTCGGGACACTTTCCTCACTCACTTTGCAGTCTTTGGAGGGGACTGTTTTACTGGAGTTCCTGTAGGTGAAGCTGTCTATACAGTGCTGGAACTTCTTCCCCAGCAGAGCTCCATCCTCCCAGGTGCACTCTGAATAGGGCAGGCCCATCCACTTACACAGGTACTCTGGCTCATTGGTCGAAGCACCATTCTTGTGGCTGTGAGCTGGTGTACAGTGAAAACAACATCTTTAGTGAAAGTGTTTTTCAGAAAAAGTTGTTTTCATCAAAATGTGCTTAGTATGATAATGATGAAGATACACTACAAGACCAAATGTATGTGAACAACTGCTCGTCGAACATCTCATTCCAAAATCATGGGTATTAATATGGAGTTGGTCCCCCCTTTGCTGCTATAACAGCCTCCACTCTTCTGGAAAGGAGGCATCCTATGATGGTGCCACGTTGAAAGTCACTGAGCTCTTCAGTAAGGCCATTCTACTGCCAATGTTTGTCTATGCATGGCTGTGTGCTCGATTTTATACACCTGTCAGCAACGGGTGTGGCTAAAATAGCCGAATCCACTAATTTTACGGGTGTCCAAATACTTTTGTATATATATAGTGTATGATAATAGTGTATGATAATGTTGGTGATGATATGAGGGACTTACAGGGGAAATCCGAGGGTCCCTGTGTCTTCCCGGTTTTAGTCGCTAAAAAAAACAAAAAAAGACACCTCAAATTACATTCCCCAAATCGCCATAATTGTTGATTACACCAATTCTGTAAATATATTATAAAGTGTGACATATTTTTGATAAGAAAGATGTTAAGTCTGTTGTAATAATCACAATTTTGTCAAACAAATATATTTTAATCGAAGGAGTTGAGTTTCTTACCAATGACTCTCTCCAGAATATGGAACTGCTTATTTAAATCAGTGGTTAGCTCTTGTTGGCAGTTGTAATATTCTGAATCCTCAGGGGATGCTTTGCTCAACCTATGGAAGATAATCAGTGTCAATAAGTAAAAGAACACATCAACAGTGAAAGGTACAACTTCAGTTGTAGCTACTATACATGTGTACACAACAAGCCCTCACCAAGCATTAAGCTCATCATTCTTCTTCTTGAAGTTGTCTAGTTTCTTGAGTCCCTTGACCTTCTGTTGAGTGAGGGAGTCGATGCTCTCCCAGGTGTTGTGGATGTAGGACCAGCCTTTCCACTTGATCAGGTAATGGGTCTCTCCCTCATCCTTCTCTGGGTCAAAGTCTGCTCCTGGGTCCCCGTTTTCCTCCACAGCATACTGGGTAGTGGAAGCCCCGCAGGCTAAAATGGATACACACAAAATTCAGACATTCATATTTTCAATATCTGAATATTATTCACAGTTTAGATTCCTAACCAGGAGGCAGCCGCTAGTAAACAGATGCCTTATCTAGCAGGGTAATATGAGCGCCACGGTTGCTGTCTCAACACCAGAGGGTGCTACAAAGCAGGATCAATTAGTTATCCTGCTAACTTTGATAAGCAACCAAAAATAATTATCGATATTCTGGTTAATTAAAAAAGCCTAACTTAGATATGTGTTTTCATTTGTTGAATCAATTAGACCATGCCCATTACAAGCCTATCAGAATATTTAGGCAAGTTATCTGGCTAACTCCTTGATCCTGCTTTGTAGTATAGCCCTCTGCTGGCAATGTCTATCTAGATGGGTTAACACAATACAGGTGAGATACCGATAAGATACTAAGTGAGGATGCATCACCTCCTTTTTTGCCTGTCCTGGTGTCCATGATCTTCTCAATGGTCTCGCTGTCCTCTTCCGGCTCCACCTCAGCTCCCTCCATCTCTATCAGGTCGTCAGAGTCCGTCTCAAAGTCATTTTGGTCCTCCTTGTAACTGGAACAAACCAACACAATGCATGTCATGCACGGTAATGTGACAGAAGCAATGTGGAACAGCACTGTGGAACAGCAACAACACTTTCCTTCATATTTTAGATTGAACTAGTGAAACATTGACATACCTGACTTTGGCAGCCACCCTTCGCCGGGTTTGTCTCTTTGGGGTATCTTCATCATCATCATCATCATCATCGTCGTCGTCATCATCATCTTCCTCCACAGATGACTCTTGTTTCCTGGTTTTCCTTCCCTTCGGAGGCTGCTGTTTTTTGACTGTAGATGATTTGGTCTGTGGTCTGTAAAATATTGAGTCAAATACACACACATGAATACCACTTCTAACCACTCTGCAAGACAGCCTACTTACTAGTCTTTCTCTAACAGCTCTAGCTGACTATAATCACTCCTAACAACCTGACTCACACCAATGGCCTTGAGACAGCTTTCAAACCTCCGACCTCAGCAATATGAATAATGTATTGTTGATAGGGCTACAGGTGAATTTCTTCATTAAATTCCAAGTGATCAATGGGGGGAAATCCTAAAGTCAACCCACAAAAGGAAAAAAAACGGGACATTCTCCAAATATTTTATGTATTAGTTTGTTCAGCCATGAAGCTGATATGTTAGCACACCTTCTTCAGGACATCATTTTGGTTGACTTTGGGATATTTAACTGTTCTTTTTTTGGTCATCCTTATGAGTCTAAATGCAAATATTCACTGCAATATAACAATATAGAATAGTATATGCATATCATAGTTGATATAACATATTAAATGCGCAGTAATAAATCATACACAGAAGAACATTTCGAACAATTAACAGATTGGAATTTACAGATTTCATTTTTTGTATGTGATTGAAGGCTAAAAATAAGTCCAGTCTGTATGACTTTCAAAGCCAAAAAAAGCACTACAATAGCCAGTTTCTAATCACACACAATGGACATGAAAGTGGACAGATAAGCTGTCTGAAGGCCAGGCTTCACTACACCCTTACCTTCTAGCAGGAAGTCGTCTGGATCTAACTTTTTTCTCTTCCTGCTCACTGTCTGCACTGCTGGCATCCTCCTCCTCCTGCTCATCATCATCATCATCATCATCCGATTCATCACTTTTCCAGGTATTTCTTACAACACAGAAATACCACAAGTTCACCCTTTGGGTTTATTATTGCTCTACACCGGGCTTAGGGTGCTCTGGTTAGCAAGATTTGATCAGATAACTAAGCATAAACTAAAGTTCTGAAGACTACCTCAGTATTGTGGTCCTCTGTAGCTCAACTGGTAGAGCACGGCGCTTGTAACGCCAAGGTAGTGGGTTCGATCCCCGGGACCACCCATACACAAAAATGTATGCACGCATGACTGTAAGTCGCTTTGGATAAAAGCGTCTGCTAAATGGCATATTATTTATTATTTATTATTATTGCTGTCTGAATCTCCTAATGAGCCACTTTAGACAAGCACAAACACCCACATATGCATGAAAATGGCAAGGACAGAATACAGAAAATAATTTGACAACATAATGACAAATACAAACACCACTGAATTGAAAGATCAAAACAAATATATGTCATGCACTTAGATCTAGATTGTCATGGGATACTATGGCTATACGTTCATGATATCAAGCAAGAAAGTGAGCCAAGGTTATGGCAGAGTCTAATTGGATGACAGCAAGTGCATTTTGGGAGCAAAAAAAAACGACAGGGATTGGCCAGTAACGCAAACATGTGCTACAGATAACTAACGTCATCTATGGCATCTGTCTGTTTTACTAACCCATTTCCAATTGATTTGACAAGTAGACCTAAGTCATGATTCAAATGAGTTCTTCTACAAATAGCCTAACTTTGAGCAGAATTTGGCACAATATAGTACATTCATCTCATGACATGATAGATTTAAGTGGATACGTTTAGAAGAAAATAAAACTGAAATGATATTAATAAGGAGTAAAAGTCTAATAATCTCAACACTCACTCTTTCTTCTTCTGTCGTGGTGCTTTTCTTTTAGGACTTTCACCTTCGGAGTCACTGCTACCCTGCAAGTGTGTTGAAATTGATTACATCTCAATGAGAGATTAGGCTTTGCCATAAGGGGTTGCAGCTAAATTGACTGAGACACCAATAAATCCACATCACATTCACTAGATGGTAAAACGTCTGTATGTGCAAACCCCTTTGGGGAAAATTGACATTTTCAGTGGGGTCTGACTTTCAGTGCATTTAAGTTTTTTTTAAATGCATTTCCATTCAGCAGTATTTCATGTTGCACTTCTTACCCCAGCTCCAATATTGAGACGAGCAGGTTCTTGTCTACTGCGATTTGACCGCCTGACCCCATAGACATCTGGATGCTCTTCCCACATCTGGAATCAAATACCAAATTGGATCATCGTATCCTTGCCATTTTCAGTCTCCATCCCAATCCCTGTCTTTCTAAATGTGCAGTGTCCATGCATAAAAGCTGTTGTGTAACTAATGGTGCGATATATCCCCGAGCAGACTTGGTGAAGAATCTGTCGATGTGCCCTTGTGAAAGGCACTTAACCCTAATTGCTCCTGAATCTGAACTGAATCTGAAGACGCTCTGGATAAGAGTGTCTGCTAAATGACAAAAATTGTAATATAGTGCATGTGTCCTCTTTCCGGCCTAGTCTAGAAAATCTGACATACAATCTAGAAACCATCAGGCAAATAATAAATCAGGTAAATAATGGTATAACCAAATATGGGGAAAGGAGGATACCTAGTCAGTTGTACAACAATGCATTCAACTGAAATAGTGCTTATATATTTGCATAGACTACAAACAGACTTGGCATTGGGCTTCAATTTATTTCCAAAGTTTCAAGGGCCTTTCAGCCCTACATAACATAACTCAGGCAAACCAGTCTGGAGTACAGGCCTTGCTTTGTTTACCTTCTTCACATCTGACAGATTGTCTTTCTTTTTAACTGGTGGTCTGTCCTTGACCTCTGCCGAGGCCTGCTGGGATTCACTCTCAGACCCAGACTGGCTCCCAGATTCAGAAGAGCTGTTGGACTCTCCTGAGTGGTGCGATCTTCTCCTCTCCCTGCCCTGCTCACTCTCCGACTGACTCCCAGACTCCAACCCAGAGTGGTTCGATTCTTCTGAGGCCGAATTGCTATGGTATCAAAAATGTGGAATTTCAGTCTATATAAAACATTACCACATTTACTTAATAGCACCCCGTTATAGTGCGGTACTTTCATTTGGTAAGCTATGCAATGATTGTCCTTTTCAATAATGAGCCCATTTTATGAACAGTTTCTCCAACCTCCCACCTACTGTTGTCAGACACTGATTTCGCTCAACAAATGAAGATCACTTTATTCGTCCAAATTGTACACAAGGTCCAACGAACCTGTGTACAATTTGTACAAATGTGTACAATGTGACTTCCGCTTTATACTAATCCCTCTGAAAGACACATACAGGTTGGAGAGGTTGGAGCAGGGGGCTGCCACACTTGGCGCCCATGGAGCCGTTGTTGTGGGGTGTTAAGCGCCTTGCTCAAGGGCACAACAGCAGCCAATGTTATCTAGGATGTGTGTAGGAAATGTTAACCTAGGCTTATTTCACAATGTAGAAAAAGCTGCAGAATGTGTAACATGTTATCTAAGTGAATGGAGTTCCTGTAGTACTGAAAAGACCACACACAAAATGCTAATGCCTTTAGGTGGAAAGGAAACAGAAGACTCATTACATCACCATAGTGTGCTCAGATTAACTTTTTCATAACAAGCCCATTCTCTACATGCCAATCCAATCCTCTTACACAGATCTTTAAAAATACTTACATAACCCAATGCAGGAGAACTTGCTGGAAGCCACATAAGTGCTTCTCAATCTGGGGTGTGTGTTATGTCCATACTAATATTGTCGTCATGTTGAAAGACCTTTCCACAATATTTAAAAGTTCCCCACACTAAAAATATTTTTGCATTCATTCAATTCCTAACATAGCCTACAAATCTTCACAAATAACCATTGTTTTAAAACAGTAGAGGGCGCCAAATAAGTCCTATGGTTGCCAGTGCCACATCAGTACATACACAGGGCCAATAGTGACTCAACCCAACATGAAGCTCCTGAGATTCTTTCCAAGACCTAATTATAACATCTAGACCTGAAGTAATATTCACCTCAAGAGCACATCACAACCTATCATATAATTTTGTCAATGCAAACATTAGGCTACATTTAACTAATGTATGTAAACCATGACAGAACCATGCCCTGATACATTCAAAACGCATCTAACCAAAAAAATGCCATATTCATACTGTACCTTACCTTGAAAATGTTACATGCAACTAAAAAAGATTAGAAGAAATGTCAACATTCAATTTAAATTGAATGTCTTTATTTAATGAAACCAGAACACATGAATCACTGCAACATGTATTTATTAAACTGTAATTCTTACATAATAAGCCCAGCAAATTACAAGGGAGTAAGCCTGTCTATGCCCCGTATGAAAAATGTATGCACTCACTAACTGTAAGTCGCTCTGGATAAGAGAGTGTCTGCTAAATGACTAAAATGTCAAATGTAAATATTGCCTTACTAACATGATGGAATGTGCAGTACCCTGAACAGACTACAGGGGGTACTCAGGTCCAGCATCAATCCATTTTCAATATAGATCATATCCACAGTCTACTACCTTAAATGGTTAAAACATGGAGCAGGCTTCTACAATAGAAAAAAATAAAGCATTTGTAGCCATGCTTTATTACATATGTTTAGTCACTTATGACATTGAATTGCTGTAGTTATATGCATAAAAACTATTAGTAGATAGATTTTCTATAATTAATATTTAATTAGAAAATATAAATCTAACTGATGAAATGTTTATACAACCATTCAGATAAGAAAAATAAAGTTCTTATTGTGATATGAAAAGCTATTGAATTGTGATATTAAGTTAATATAATTTATCGACCATTCAGTCACCAGCGACAAATGCTCAAACCCCCATAAGCAGGTGACTCCCTTCATTGAGAGGTCAGACATAGGCAGGACAAAAAAATGAAGTGAATGATTATAGGCTGGTGGGTTGCTAGGTGAGGAATGAGCCAATCCCCGCTCAAATTAAAAGCCTCTGACCTTTGAAACACTTCCTGTTTCCCTTTCTTGTAGTTCTGAGCACACTTCTAATACAGAAAGTACAAAGCAAGAGCCATTTTGTGACTTTAAAGTAGACTCCACTTCTTGCCCTGTATTTCAAAATAATATTTAATGAAGTGATCTGCTCTCCCAGTGTATTTTGATTACATGTGCTTGAAAAGTAGTCCTCCATCAGGACGAGAGCAGTCAAAAGTGTGGTAGAGGATTAGGATTTTGACAGACTTTGGATAAATGTGCATGGTTACTAAAATGGCTGCCAACAGGATAGCAAATGCACTACACAGCATTTATTGTGTGACAATGTCTTCATGTCATGTATTTGTGACCCATTATCAATTGAATTCAGGAGTAGAGGAAGTTAAGCTGAAACATTTGCATTGTTTGACAATCTAAAACAAATGCAATACTTCTCTCTTTGATGAGGAACCCAAACAGGCCTGTAGTTGTAATGTAGGCCTATAGTAAGAAATGTAAGCCATGTAATAGGAGACAACATGTTGGCCCCATCAGGCTTTAATTATGATATCCAGTCACCAATTATACATAGGCCTACATATGACAGTTACTTCCATGACTGAATTCTAAAACTATCACAGGTGTAAGAGGTGTAAGCAATGTGCACTTACCATCCCCCAGAGAATGAAATGAATTCAATTTGATGGATAACCAGATATTATGTTCCACTCAAGACTACCATTAGATTATGCAAGCAAGAATAATTATTTGACATTAGTAGACATGACTTTATCTCCCACGTGGCCTCAAAATAACCTGAGCACATGAGGTCCTTTAAAAAGATATATAACTTTTTATTGATTATGATAAATTACATTGTTTTGTGTTCCTTCTGTTTTCCAACACAAACAGATAATAACATTTAAATCATTTAAATCGAAACTTTAGATTATACTTTTATCTGTAAAATAAAACAATCAATCAAGTCATTGAGACCATGAAAACATCTGCAATACATGATATTTACCATCCTGGCACTTAGCTATTAGCCTATTCCATGGTATCAGAATATAAAAGGAACTCTTAATCACAAATACAATACAGGCACAGCTGAATAAAGGGATACTTTGCATTGAGGACATCACTCAATTGAACCAGCTGTCCTATAAAATCTGTAAAATGTAGTTCAACCATTGCCACATAAACTGACTATGAACAGAATAGCCTAATCTATAAATAATAAATGAGTGAACACCAAATATGTGCAAAATATAGCATGTCAATGGTTAGTCTGATTTGTGTACCAGTGAAGTTCACTAAAGAAAAAGAGCTACATCAATGCCAATAACCCCACTGAAATTGTTCTCTGAATGACATTATAAATCTCAACATTGGTTCCCCATATAAGTTAATGAGAATGCATACTTTTTCAGTATATACCTAATCTAATAACTATTTCAAATGGCTATCCATAACAAAAACATGTAAAAGTTAAATACATTTTACAAGAGGACTGACTATAAGTGAAGCCGTTTTCAAATAGGCCTACAATAATATTGAGCCTCCCTTTATGACAGAAGCCTATGTGAGAAATGAAGTAGGTTGTAACTGAAGACAAGATATCCAGGAGGTAAATACATCTACAACAGGCCAAATAGAAACTAAAATCTAGTGAACATTCAGTCGTGATTGACTGTATGGCGTACAATATATTTAACAGTTCTCGTTAAAATAATGCATACTTTATAGTTTAGGCTACCCACATTTAAGCTTTCTAAAACGAATGTTGTCAACTGTTTAAAATGAAGACAAATGAGTCTTTAAAACTTAACTCCATAGTTGTCAATGCAGAAAAAAAAAGTTGATAGCGCCTATTGGATATTAATTTGAATACTTCCCTTCATCCACACATGCTGTTGACATGAGTAAATTGGAGTTCTAAAATGTTTCAAAAAGAATAAGTGATGCATGTTCAAATGGTGCAATGCAGTATCGACTAATAAGACAAGGTCATATCACATTGTAACGATGGAACAACAAATATTGAACTCATGCATTTGTTCTTGGGGAAAACGTAATTTAAACTTATTCTATGTTGTATACATGTGTGTAAAGATGCAATACCATGGGCCTGAAAGTTCAGTCTTTAGTGTAACAAAATGTTAGGAAAATTAGGGTGTGGCTATTAAACAAGACCAAGGTCATTGGTTTGAAACTGGTACAAATCGTGAAAACGATGTAGCAAATGTGTCCACAGGCGATCAACCATGCTTGTCAAGGTAAACAATGAAAACAGATGTCAAAAAAGTTAAATAGATGATCGTACCTTGATGCATTGCTTTGAGTCGAACCGTCATCTTCTTGCTTTTTATTCTTATTCTTCATCATCGTGTTATCTTGAAAACGTTGGATTGATTATCGTATGTGCTGGTATTTGCTGTCAAAAGTTAGAAGAGTGATGAACTATCATAAAAGTCCCATAAGATTGTTTTTGCTCAGAGGACAGTAAAAGCCTTGACGTTACGAAATAAGACAACATTGTGTCAGGCGTTTAAACTGGGATTATTCATATTAATATATAAATTATCGATGACATCCTGTAATTAAAAAGCCAAGTGTTGATAATTTCAATTAGATCCACCGACCGAGCCACATGCACTAATTCTAACTGCGTCATCAGACAAAGGACGACCAAAATGTGATAATAAATAAAACAATCGATTGTAGGTATTATAAAATGTCAACATACCTATTCCATGTACAGTAAGGTATAATGAAGTATTAGATTCACATCCGCAAAGTAGGCTATAGACTATTTAATACTAATGACAAAAAAAAGAGCCATTTAGAAAAGGTTGAATGAAAATAAACATTAGGAAAAAAATACCAATGTTGATAATAGGATATTGAAGCCTCAACACAAGTGATCGTGAGACGAAAGACTAGAGCTCTTCACAGAGCACACGAAAAATGGAGGAGCGCCATGGCTGCCAGACCTAGGCAGAGAAGACAACGACTCGCGTATACACTCTGCAAAACGGATCTACACGACGAAAAACTCATTAAATAAAGCAGAAAAACCTAATCTACTGTTCACTATAGTAATAGTTCTTATTTTAAATAAAAAAATATTCATAGCGCGGCATATTCCAGCTTGATGTCATGAAAAAGAAAAGGGCTGACAAAAGCCCAATGAATTGCTCCCCTTCCCAAGGCTCATCCGCCATCTAGAGCTCCTTCCTAGCTCTGAAAGCTTTGCCTTTGATTGACGTTATTTCCATTTACCCCACACTCAGGTGATGTCCCAAGTCCCACCCCCTTTATTTTGTATAAAAACTGCAAACCTATAGTACGTTATTATTTCATAAAACGTTGCTTCACTTCAAGAGGATAGCCTTAGTCTTTGCCAAAGTCAGATCCATATAGATTTTTCTTTTTAAAGGGTTGAATATGTACAATATTACAAAAATTGTATTAAACACTAAGACCCATCACTTCCTGTTCAGACAGGAAATATGACTTCAGGAGCCATTTTAGAGGCAGAGCCTTGGCCACCATTTCAGTTCTTGCCAAAAACTCAGTTTTAACTCTGTGTGTTATGTAGAAATGATGAGTATAATTGTATGGATTAGCCAGCCCCTTCACCATGGAATGTGTTGATCATTAGAAGCCATACCCTTTAACTTGACTTCAGTATTTCGTAAGTTTTTTTCAATGTTTGCTAATCATGAGCCGGATTGTGAACACAGAAGTCCTACAAAAACTGTATGATGTAATAAACTTGTCAATTAAATTAATCTGACCAGGGATGTAATGGTAGAAAAAAAAAGTAGCTAAATATTGCTCGAGATGGAGACAAGTAACAAACACTTGAGCAAAAAAACTTTTGCGTAATAGGTGTAAATGTTCACAAAATAAAAAGTTGCGGAAATGATTACTTGCATTTACCCTCTAATTCCCTCGATCCTATGTAAAGTTAGGTCTAATTATTAGCTAGCACTATTAATGTCAATTTAGGAGTAATCGGAAGCCCCAGAAAATACCCAAAACTTGATTTCATTTGAGTAAAATTGATTCAGT